ATTATTATATATGCCTGAGTGGTGTTTTTTGTTTGTTTGTTTGTGTGTTTTTTAAAAAGCTAAAGTGGATAGAGAGAAATACTGTTAACTGATGGTTCATGGAGGGGATTATAATCAATGTAATGAAACAAGGTATATGATTTGTTGAATGTAAAACTGATGATATGCCCTGTAAACTTCACTTAATCCACAATAAAAAATTTAATGAAAAAAAAGTGCATCAGGATGAACTATTTTTTATGACTAAACCACTCCTTAGTCTGTGCCACTGAAACACACTGAAAGGGCAGCTACAAAGGACTAGACGACAGGATGTGAGTGACTTATTCCCGGCATTTCACTTCTGAATGAGAGAAAATAAACAGATACTGTTTCACAGGCAGAACCTTCTAGAGTTGTCAGTAATTTTACAGATTATTTCCCCTGAGGCAAAGAGCAATCATAATCTTTCTTTATTCACCATAGCAACCCTTGCACTGTTAAAAGTGCTGAGTTGCATGTACTAACCAAATTCTAAACCTCCATCTTCTTTCCAGTACCTTGGTCTGCTCCAGTTCTCTGTTCTTGGCTTGAATGATTGCTTCAAAATTCTTCTTGCTGCGATTTAGCTCTTCCATTAGAGCCCGGTGCTGCAGAAACATAGCAGAACATGATCTATACTGATTTATGTGTGATCCTATGCTGCTCCCTTCCTCTAGGCACACTCATGCCTGCTCTCTCTCTCTAGCCAGTGGCTTTGGCTAAAAGGATCAATGAATTGGCAATTGCAAAATAATCCCTTCCTTCCTTTAAAACATCTCACTGACCTACTGCTTTTTTTCAGGAAAGGGAACAAGTAGGACAGGAGGCCACCAAATCCACTAGTCTTTCCATAACATCTGCTCCCAATTCAGATAGCCATCCAAAGCAATTGAAGAACTTCTACTTCCGTGCAGAGTCTGATTCTATAGGTTTGGCTTGGGGCCCAGGAATGTTTATTTTTTATAAAGCTGCCCAAGTGATTCTGAGAACCAGTGCTCAAGAACTATAAAATAACTAAGACTGACTAGTACTAGGAGCAACATTTAAGAAGTTGTCAAAAGAAAATGGGAATCAGAGAACCTACATAATCATTTTAGTTGAAATAAAAAAGATCTTTAACCTTTTTAACTCAGACATTACATACATATAAGTCAATGTGGACTGAACCCAGCTCGTGTCTCCTGGAAACTGGCACATCCAAGAGCTAATAGCTCATTCACTGTGACTAAGTGCCTACAATGAATGCCAAGAGTTCCACTTCTATGAAACATAATTTATGAGCAGCCTCATGCTTAAGTATAGCTTGTACTGTAAAATCTTACCACAAATTCTTTCATTAAGGAACCAAACAATATTGCCATTCAAGTTCATTCTGACTCACAGTGGCTCTATAGGACAGAGCAGAACTATGCCACAGGGTTTTCAAGGCTGGGATCCTTATAGGACCACACCACCAGGTCTTTTCTCCCATGCAGCAGCTAGTGGGTTTGAACTTTTGTTAGCAGCCAAACACTTAAATACTGCGCCACTAGGGTGTTGTTTTTTTTTTAAAAAGAAGTTGGAGTAGAATAAGGATTTTTGAAATGATATTGTTCATGAAACAAATTTTAAAATGATCTCCAAAGCAGCAATTCTTTCAGAAGGTCTGGCCCCACATCTAAACTACTAATTTGATCTGCATATCTTAACTTTTTCATCCATAAAATGGGAAAACAGGTACCCTTTCTACATCAATGCTAATAAGAAAATTAAAATGACAGGTATGAAAGCAGTCAGAAAAGTTTGTTTTTATGCTCTATAATTATGATGGCCTGGTAAATAAAATAGTTTCAGAGGGACCAGCAGAGTAGACCAAAAAAGCAACCACTGCTTCAGCTGAGAGAATAGAATAGTATGTCCCCTCAGGTGCACTGGAATAGAACCATGACCTTAAAATACCATATTGTAGGCCAACTGAATGCAGACTGGCCAAATACTCCATGATACAATGACAGGGATGCTGCCCTGCCTGTCCAAGGAGAGGGTGGATACAGGGTACTCAATGATCCCTTGGAAATTTCCAAGTAGCAAAATCTTTTTCTTTTCCAGTCAACTTCAAAACAATATCTGAGTATCAATTTAATAACGTTTGAGAACTTTACGTAGGGCACATGCCTACCATCCCATTCTCAAAAAGAAACAAGTTCAGAAAATAAAATTCTAAAAAAGATTAAATTGATTTTCACCTAATTCTTTCCCAAGGTTGTTTGTTCACCCTTTATAAGGAACCAAGACAGGTACCTTGTCATGCTTATAACATGACTATGAACACTGCAAGAAGGTTGGGAGGCAGGCAGCAAAGAAAAGAACACAAGGATAAATTCTCCTGAACAATTTTAATGCTTTGTTCACTTTTCTTAAGAAGATTTGAACTATCCCACTAACATCCTGATCAAAATTGCTTCAAACCACTGATCCTAATATATAAAGGATAGAAGACAAAAACAAGTTTTAAAGACGCAAAAGAGCTATGAGAATTAATCTAATGAAACATGTAGTCAAATAGATAAAAGAAATTACAGACAATCTTTTAGGAGAACCTTTTTCCTCCTTGCCCTTTCAGTAAATCGAGATACTTTCCTGTTAACTTGCATACTCTCAATCTGACCTAAAATGCTTACTTGGAACTTTCTCACATTACTTCTGGATGGCTACAAATCAGGAGCAGTGAGGTGATGGAAGCCCTTGCAAGCACTGGTGGCCAAGTCATAGCTCACATGTCCCCTGTGCTGTCCTCACCTTTGTGGACATGGAGACACTTCCCCAGAGCATCCTAATGTTACGAGCTCCGTTCCATCTTCACTAGAGCAACTCCTGCTCTGATGAAGATATAAGTTTCCATCTGTGGTCTGGCATATCTGTGAGGCTTCAAATCTCTGACCTGATGGTGTGAGCAGATGCCATCTGCTCTGTTCACAGACTGGATATGTCTCAGAGGTGTGAGCTAAGCAGTAGATGAAGCCAGTGGCCACGAAACACTTGGCTGCCCTCTACTCTGCAGACCATTATAATCTCAGAACAGTGGCAAAAGATGAGTTACCTCCTGTAGAGCCTGGACCAACTGTTGCTTCAGGTCCTCTTCTCCTTGCTCTTTCTCCAAACCCTGCAAAGCCAAAAACAAAATGGAAGGTTTCCCTGCAGGGAAGGAAAAAAGGGAACAAAATCCAGCAATTTGCAGAGCAGATCAGCTGGCACGAGCATCTGGAAACAGGGGCAGGAAGCAGTTGGGAAATCTCCTATTTATTTCAAAGGATTTGAGCAGAGCTCAAATGTTGCACACCTCAGGGTTGTCACCTTTAAACCAGTACTCGGGTTGCTCTAGAAAACCATAAGACTAATGCCATAACTCCAAAAGGATGTAAACTGAGCGCTTCTGGGCCAACAAACATCTAACCTTAGACATGATCCCTAAGGTTGGCACCATGAGTTACACCATGTTTCTACCCTCAATTTTAGCCACCCCATCTCTCATTCAGAGTCTATCACTTCTAGCCCACAAACTGCTTCTTTTCCCTCTTTGCCTGAACTCATGTCATAGTTCCCCCACCTGCCCCCCTCCCTTCAGAGTGCTATCCACATCATCATTCAACGATAACCTTTCCCTCCCTACTTTAACCCATCATACACATTTAATATGCCAATTTGAAACTATTCTCTAATTGAATATATTGACATGGAACTGTTCTTTGATGTATAGCATACACCTTGTTTCCTCAACTAGATAAGTTCCTTAATGGCAAAACTATTTATTAAGTATTCTTAACATCAGAACTCTAAACACAGCGCCAGGCACCAAATCTATGTGAAGAAGCTAAGGGTTCAGTAAGCTTCTGAGCAAGTATTAGGGCTAGGATAAATCCCTACAGCTTGGTTTGTTGTTGTTGTTGTTGTTGTTAAGTGCCATCAAGTTGGTTCCGACTTATAGTGATGCTGTATAGGGTTTCCGAGGAGTGGCTGGTGAGCTTTAACCACTGCCCTTGTGAGCAGGCAGAAGGAAATGTATCTAACAAACAGTGGACTAGATAGTGCTACTATAAATAATTCATACATGACCTCCTTCTACCTGGATAAATACTCCAAACCAGTTATTTTTTTCCTTTCTTTAGCAGTTTTGTACAGAAAAATATTTTGCAACTATACCTTGAAGCACATCCAGAGTAGCCACAAATACTAATTAACTGTTAACTGTTGTTCCTGAACACCAATATAAGCCTTTCAACACAGTTCTGCTCTGGTGAAAGTATGATACACTAAATACGTAAAGAGAAACCACTCTTATTAATTTCAAGAACTAGTCCAAGTGAAAAAGGGAAGTAAGAATGTACACACAAGTAACTCATGTATAACCTCAGGCAGACATGTTTAATCCAAAGCCTTTTCTAATACGAGGGGGCTTCAAAACGTTTGTGGAGAAATGGAATTGTAAGATAATGAAAAATTTCCATGAACCTTTTGAGTCCCCTACTACCTTTTTCAAGGGGATAGCATATATTAGACCCAAATTTATAAATGGTTCAGAAATAAGCCAACACTACTACTTCTTGTTCTTTCCCTGAAAAGCTCAAACAAAAGATAAACGCTTATTCACATCAGTTGTGATTTGGTCCTTCTTAGTTCTAAGTCAACAATGGGGAATTCTTGGCATTCAATATAACCTGAGCAACTCAGTGGGAATAAAACGTGTGGTTCCTGCCAGATGGGCGCTGACGTTTTGAACAGAGACCAGGATCATGATGCTCTAGCTAGAAGCTCTGTGCAAGTATCTGTCATCTAAGCAAATGGCTCAGTGACCACAACACATTTGGTCTTACTTTGACATAATTAAGAAAATAAACATTTTACCTTTCTGCTAAAGGCACTGTGGAAAGCAGCTTATCACTGAACCCAACAACTAAATCCTGGTATACCAGTCCCCTCCTGTGCTGAGTGCTCAGGACAGACACAAAAATATTTTCTGACTTTCTAGCCTCCCACCTCCTAAGTTAATTATAGAGTAACTAACCCTCACAGTTAGCAAGCAGCCAGGTACAAGAGGACAGAGTAACTAGCTGACTTGTACCTGCTGTGGGGCTAAGATGGCTCTGACCAGAGTTAAACTTATGAAGAGAACTACTGGTTCAAATGGGGTGTATTATGGTTTCATGGCATCCTGACCTCCATTCAACTTCTTGAATTTACCTTGGTTTTCAGTCACCTCCGTTTTGTTTCTTGAGATCAGTTATGTGCTGGCTGGCTCTATTGATCCCCTTACCCTATCTTGGTGCCGAAGCTCTGGCTCCTATGTACCTTGGTACATCTCCTTGGTACTGAAGATCTGATCTGCATGCTGAAACCTTAACCCTTTACTTAACCCCCTATTCTCTTATCTCAAGCTTTTCTGTTCTTCATACCATCACCTGCCCAGGGCAATCCCTAAGGGGCACTCTTGGTCTTCCTTCCTAGGGGTTACCTGGAGATGTGGCTCCTCTTCCTGGAAGGTCTTTTCTAGTTGCTCCACTCTCGCTTGCTGCTGGGCCTGTTCTTCACAAAGCTGGGACTGTAAGTCCTGTAGTTCCTGCTCCATTTTCACAATTTTTTTTGAGTGCTCCTTTTGGTTCTGCTTTTTAACATTCAGAACAGCTACCTGCTTTTTCTGCATTTCTGTTTTCAGCTTCAGAATCCTAGACATAGTTGCCTTCAACAGATCTAAGCTATTCTGAGAAATAGAAGAGCTGGAGGCTTGCTGTGTCTTACCATGAAGCTCTACAACTTGCGGGGGATCAGCACAAATATGAACCCCTGTGGTTTTCTCACTGGGCTCATGAGAAGTCAACTTAGGATCCAAATCTTCAGAGAGCTGACTGGCCACCTCACCTTTCTCCTGTGACTTCACTGGCTGACCAGATTCACAAGACATACTACTAATTTTAAATTTTGAATTTGAGGGGCCTTCAGCTCCAGGATCACCCAATTCATCCAAACTAAATTTCCTTTTAGTTCTCAAATCCTTATTTTTTTCTACCATATGGTCATTCTTTGGGGCAAGACAGGGATACATTCTCTTCCAGTCTTCTTCAGTAACTTCATATTCATACTCTGCATTCTCCTTGTTTTCCAGGGGCACCCCAAGTTGGATGTGGTCTCCCTTCTGGATGGAATAGATCTTTAAAGGTTCCAGACGTTCTCTGTTCAGCCAAACACCATTCAGACTCTGGGGAGAGAGAAAGATGAAATAAGCTTCACAAGTTTTCTACTCTTAATGGAATTTCTCTCTTGTTACTACAATACCTTCTGCCTTTCAGAAGGAAATTCTTAAGGACAAATAGAAAAAAAAAGGTTTATACATCGCATCCTTAAAAACATTTTTCAAACAGTGCTTTTTACCTATTATTTCATATTCATGCGTCCACAGAGAAATGCCTGTGTAACAGACAGGAATCACCTCAGCATGGGTGGATGAATTACTCAAACAAATGCAACAGACCTATGTTGTTATGTGTCGTGGAGTCGGTTCCGACTCATAGCAACCCTGTATAGGGTTTCTGAGACTGTAAATCTTTACGGGAGCAGAAAGCCTCATCTTTCTCCTGCGGAACAGCTGGTAGTTTCCAACTACTGACCATGAGATTAGCAGCCTGATTTGTACC